AATTTCCCAAGGTTTTACAATAACTTGGCCCAATCATATATTAAAATTTGCAAAAATTATTTATAGGAACAAACTAAATAAGAATCCAAATTAAATAATTTTATTGATGTCAATAAGAAAAAATTTCACCACTACAAATTAATTTTATTTTATTATATTTTAACGAAAACATATAAAACGCATTCCTGAAGTCTACGATATTATTCTAGTCCTCATTGAATTTTTCCAAATATTAAATGAAATAAATAATCGGAAGAATAATATATTCCTTGATATTTATTAGCTTATTGATTTTAGAGCGCCTGGAATCAATCACAAGACGAAATATAATTTCGTCTATTTCGAAATAGGTCTCCTCACGGGCCTCCGGGCATACGGGCACACGGGCATATGAGGAATCCACGGGCACACGGGCACATGGGCACACGAGGAATCCACGGGCACACGGGCACACGGGCAACAACATTACGCTATACGCAAACAACGGCGCAGGAATCAACGAAACTCAGGTAACATAACAGAATCATGACAACACTGCGGCGGCAGAATGGCGAGCCCGCAGAAAGGAATCTACGGTGCACGGAGCCATAACAACACATGACGAAATGACTTAAGATCAAGGCAAACAACAAGATTACGCTGTACGCAAACAATGGCGCAGGAATCAACGAAATTCAGGTAACATGACAGAATCATGACAACACTGCGGCGGCAGAACGGCGAGCCCGCAGAAAGGAATTTACGGTGCACGGAGCCATAACAACGCATAATGAAATAACTTAAGATCAAGGCAAATAACAACATTACGCTGCACACAAACAATGGCGCAGGAATCAACGAAACTCAGGTAACATGACAGAATCATGACAACACTGCGGCGGCAGAACGGCGAGCCCGCAGAAAGGAATCTACGGTACACGGAGCCATAACAACGCAAAACGAAATGACTTAAAATCAAGGCAAATGACAGCATTACGCTGCACGCAAGCAGCACGGAAAGGACAGCGACACGCCATCAAACAAACACCAAGGTCTACAACGACGGGCAACGAACTCATCATGCAGGTATGGTCTCACGCTGCGGCAACCGGTTCGCACACAGATAGATAGACAGACAAACAGACAGCCAAACAGACAGATAACTAGGTAGATAGCAAGACAAACATACAGACATATAGATACATAGGCAAAATAATACATCGATAAGTAGAAATCCCTCTAAATTTCTGCAGGAAAGACACTTGTAAGTGCAAACTGTCTGCGGCCAAATCTAAGCATATTCCAAAGCTTTATATGGAATCCTCTATATTTTTTTAGTTCAGTAAGTGGTGATTCGCAGCAACCCTTAGCTAAAAAGAATTTAAAAAATCATCTTTAAGAATATCTAAGTAACACATATCCAGCAAAATGCAAAAAATCTCAGCATGAAATCCGTCGTCCTATTGTTTGTCCTGCAATTTTTGGCACTGGACCATTTGACCCCCGCGATGGCACGATCCTACCTGATCTTTGCATTCAGAGACACAGAATCACTCTTTTCCACATGTTATGGGAATGGAATCCAATAATATTCCAAATATAATATAATGAATTTAGTGTATATATTAAATCAATATATAGAAATCTAGCTAAATTAATAGTAATGTAACGTAGAATAATATGTTCCCGGATTATGTTGGGACATAATAGTTATATAATATACCAAAATCCATTAAATTCCAAGAAATAATTACATTGGATTTTTTTAAGGATAAGGATGCAATTCTGATGCAATTCTAGACATTCAAATGTTCTGATCAGAAAATTCATTTTAAAATAATGTTCAGATTCGAAAAATCGAAAAAATATTACGAAATAATATTTGTTCTACATCTTTATTTTGTGGATAATAAGAATAATTAAAATAGAAGATAAAAAGGTCAAACGTCATAATATAAAGAAAAAGGAAAATAATAATATTGAAAAGAAATATTAATTAAAAAGGGGGATAACAAGAATAACAATGTTACGGGACATCAGTGGAGGATCATAATTATACGGAAGATATGATAACGAATAATAATATTCAGAAAATAGAAAATAATAATAATAATCAAGTATGGGCCTTTACATTCTCCATAAACACCAATTACAATAAACGGA